AAAAGGTACTGTGGATCAAGCCAAATGTCATCCATCACTTTTACTATCATTTCTTCTCATTATCTGTTCCTTTTTCTTTCCATGCCCCTTATTTTAAGTTTTAAGTTATTTAAGTTCATTTTTGCAGTTTCACTTACTTTCTAGTAAATTAGTGGCAATGCAATCATTGAACAGAAAATAACAAGCAATAGTCCAGTTTCGAATTCGCCATGATGGCTGCTTAAGAGTACTGAGAACACATTTGCACAGGGTTAACCTTGACCTAAAGTAAAATATTTACAAATTCCAGTGAGAAGATGACCTGTTTACAGCTCCGTGTATTGTTTAATTTGTGAATATTTTTTTAGGTCAAGGCTAACCCTATGCAAATGCATTCTCAGTGCTTTTAATCAGCGGTCATGGCGAATTTGAAACTGGACTATTCCTATACTCATGGTGATAATATTTTTCTGTCTTGGCTTCCCATCAGTGAATAACTTTGACTCTTAACATGCCTCTTTTCAGGTAGTACGCGCTGCTCCATTGACACAGTGGGTGACGTCCATGGATATATCACCCAAAGGGCATCTCATTGCTTTTGCAACAGAAGGTACAAGCTGCATCAGAGAAGAGTTCTGTTTAATAGTGTCTAGATGGTTTAAATAGTGACAGATGCCACTACTGACTAGAATTTCAGTTACAGACATATGTATACCTACTGTAACAGGAAGGAATAAGAGTATAAAAATACATACAAGAAAATTCCAAATAGACTTACTATGGGATAACATTACTTTTCAATAATTTTCGTTGAAATGGTTATAATACACATTGCAGTTTCTTTTACAGACTTTCAAGTTAGAACCACCTTGTACAATGTATTAAACAGTACTTGAAACACAACTGAGTAACCACCTGAGTGGTTACCCAATAGGTCAATCTGAGAGTGAAAGGGTTCACATAGTAACATTTTCTTAAGTAATAACTTTATTCAACGACAAGTCATTGAAAGAGTTATGTTTACCATAGTCATACTGACTTTGATTATCTGTTTTGCCATGTTTCTAGAACGACTTGTCAAACTTATGGACTACAGTGAGGGAAGTTTTCAAGACTTTCTGGGACACTGTGATGTTGTTAACAATGTAAAGTTTGCACCATCAGGGGAATTGCTGTGTTCAACAAGCCATGCAGAAATCTTGATGTGGAATGTCAAGGCGTAACAGGATCCTGCTTATCAAGGCATTTGTGGAAAGGTTTCTAACAGAAAATGACCCATGTGGCAATACCCGATGGCTACACTGTAGTCTAGACGGCAGGTTGGGTGGACCAGGTCATGGTCTCCCTCACAAGGTCAATACTTTACAGTCAAATTAAAGCTTTGTGTAGAAAAAAGATAGTTTTAACCATCATAGGGGCAAATTTCCAGAAATGGCTGAGTTTTGGTGACTGCTGTCATCATCGTCATTGTCATCGTCATTGTTGTCATCATCATCATCATTAGTCTGTGGGAAACGGGGCGGGTTTAACAAGTATTTATGCAAATAAATTGTTTTTTAAACCTTCCTAAGGAAACAGTTTTATGTGCACACCCTGGAATCAGCCATGTGTACAAAGCAAAGCTACCAGTGTAAAAAGGCTTTCAAAATTCAATTGTTCGCTAATGCTCCAAGCTGTAAGGAAAGTGTAGTCACTACCTCAAGTCAGTGACAGTTCACATATGAACCATTCATGCATAAATATCACTGCTGTATTATCTAATATAAAGTGAGAATATTTTGTTGTACAATACATCAAGTTATAGTTTATAATAATTGTCTAACTTCCTACAACCTTCATTCTTTCACATAGCAGCATATGTACTCATAAACTAGCTGCGTTACCATAAATACATGTTATGTTGTGACTGAATGTGTGCCTATGCTTTGAATTCACTCATACAATGATACATTAAGAAGTGTCCAATTCCTAACTTGAATACACCATTAGGATGGTGGTTATGTAAAATAATTGCTCAATGTTGTAACTAGGTTGGTTTTGTCTTTACCATAAGCTTTCATAAAATTATTCTTCTCAAAGCCAAATCTTTGTGAGTTCTCAAGTGTCATTCAGATAATTATCTCAGTCTTGACTACTGTTCCTCATTGGGTTTACTATTGCCTGGCTTACCTGATGAGCCTTGCAGGACATTCCTTGATGGCCTTCTATATGAAGAGAATCTCAACAAAGATCACAGCAAAGATTAGTGTAAAGATCTTTGCAAGGATCTTTCAGCAACATCAAAGATGTGATAAGAATTTACCCAGGAGCTTTAAAAAAGTTCTTAACAGGATTCCTTGAGGATCATGGCAGGATCCTTACAGGGTCCAAGAGTATTTATGAAGATCCTGAAGGATTATCAAAATGAAACATCTTTGGGATAAACTGATAATCAAGTACTTCTCCAAATAATATTGCATGAGATTTGTGGGAAAAGATAATGCAATGTGCAATTTTATTGTTATGATCATAAATAACAAATATACTTCAGAACAGTCGCCTCATATAACAATGTGTTACCAACCTATTTGTCTCCTTTATCTTCATATAATCCATCTTATACTGCAGGCTGCAAGTGGCCCTAGCATAATCTGTGATTATTCAGTATTAGTTTATTATTGTAATAATGTCTCCCACATCATAAGTGATTAAATTATTACTAGCCACACTGTATAACTTTATGATACATTCAAACTTTCAATCAAACACCTTACTTTCATTTTCATTATTGGGTGAAGAATTGTATCGCTATTGCCACAAGTAAAGAGCCGGCTTGCATTTTTCTTTAGTACATGTAAATTGTTAACTACGTATATTTTCAAGCAGAAAGAAGCATGAGTACCTATTGCTCAATCTCATGTAACTGTTTGAAATGCACAGGGAGTACATGTACATGTACACAACATTCAACCTTGCATTCACTAACCTACAACACACTTACTGTTAGTATATATACTGAAGCAGGAAATCTCTTACACTGAATTTATAACCACTGAGACAGCTACTTTGGAAATGTACTAGCCTGCAGTACATTTACTATAAAATAGTTTTCTTAATCTTTTAGTTCAGTCCCAAGTTCAAAATGTGATTTCTTCTTACTTACAGCCATACAGTTCTTTTAATATCAGTTATGAGAAACTGGTGGTACATCTGGACAGTGTCACTTAAGTGATGATTTTCTTTATTGACTTATCACCTGTTTGCTTGATAATGTATTGGTATTGTGATGAGAAATTTTATTTTGATCACCCCTGGGATTTAAAGGGTTAATAGCCACTGGGATTGCCACTAATCCATGGTGCATTGATTTACTACACTAACAATTCAGATCAAATCAGGGATAAATAGTCTGTTAGCTTGAATCAATAGACATTTTTGACCATGACTTTGTTATTACCCAAGGTAATTTGCCATCAACTGTTAGTGCTTGCCACTAGACTACTAAACAAATAAAACCCCAACATTCAACCAACTAACCTCGGCCAACGAAGTTACAGCAGATGCTGAACCTTGCAGTACTATGCCAATTAAATTATTTGATTCAGATCCCTGTTCTATAGGTTTTTCAAATCATCAAAATTTATTCCCCCTTTGTAATTCTTTCAAATTACTAACACTGAGTTGATTTTTTATTACCTTTGTGAGTCTTGTTATTTCTTTGTACACCAACAAATATCTGTGATATATGGTAGCTTGTACACTTGGGTTCCTTTCAGATCTGGGTGATTTGTAAGAATATCTCTGATATTAGATTCAGCCATAGCCCTCTTTTCTTCACTACTCTGGGTTATAGCACTTATACACATTATAACAGACACTATTTTATCAATGTCTCCTTCCAGATAAATTCTAAAGTTAGTGTCCCTTTCTACAGTTGTAAATTTGCCAGACTTATCTATACTCTCCATCCATTGTAGTTCTCTAGGATCTGCTGGCATATCCTTCTGTCTCACAAATGGATCGACTATGTCCTGTATAGCCCTCACCCACGGAACAGACCAATCTCTGTGGTTCCAGATCATACCATACTTGCCTCCTGGTTTAAGAACACGACAAACTTCAGCAACTGACTTTTCGCTAGCAAACCAGTGAAATGACTGGGCACAAATAACTACTGGAACGCTCTCATCTGGAAGCGCTGAAAGATCAAAGCAAGAGTTTTAAAAATAAGCAAATTCAAAAACCAAATCATTGGCAAATTTAGAGGAGGGGAATGGTTGCACTAACTTTGGGCTAAAAACAATGAGGTTCAGTCTAGGCCTGTTTTTTTTTGTTTTTTTTTTTTTAAGATGAATTTAATTTACTTTTAGCAAAAATTTAGCAAATTCAAAAAAGCAAATCATTGGCAAATTTAGGGGAGGGGAATGGTTCTTCCAACTTTGGGCTAAAAACAATGAGGTTCAGTCTGGGCCTGATGTTTTTTTTTTTAGATGAATTTACTTTACTTGTATCTTGAAATAAAAAAAAACAACAACAAAACAAAAACAGAATTACAATACTGACAGTACCATAAAAATTACAATGCACTATAGAACAATACCGCACTACATATACCAGTTACATACCACTTAAAACCAAAAAGAAAAGAAAAACTTAAAACTTTACAAAGCTACATACATTACATTACATTACATATACCGGTATAAGTAAAACTGGGGTAACTACGGACAAAATTACAAAATCAAAGATACAAACTTAATTGTCATAACAACCCAACCTGGAACAAGATAAGCCCCAGAGGCTAGGTAGAGGGTGCTATTTGTTTTTTAGCATTAACATTGGGAATCAAAGTGGCATTGTAACTCGAGAATTGAAACAATAGGGCTTGGCAGAGTACCAAAACAATTCTGTTGTTTATTCCAAGTCAATATGTTCCGTAAAAAACATTCTCAAATAAGGAAGCAAACTACATTATTATCAGTCTAGTCCCTTTTATGGGATATAGGTATGGTTTTTCAGCCGTTTTGGTCATTAATAGGGTATGGTCTTTGCACTCTAGTCTTGAATTGGTTAAGTTTTTCAGAAGAAGCTACTTTTCCATCATTATCAATGAGACTCAATAAAAGTCCTTCAAAACACCTTTAACATCAGTCTGAACTAGGTATTACTAATTATAAGGCAGATGTGAAACAGGGTATTGATGAAAGGGTCAGGTCAAAAATAGGCCAGTATCAAATATTTGGTCAGGTCATAAATAGGGTAAGGAAAATCACAGATTTTGGTCATAAATAGGGTAAATGTTTTGAGAAGCAAGCCTCACACCCCCACCCAAATTTCCTGGGAGTATTCCCCCCCCCCCCCCCCCCCCCCCCCCCCCCCCCCCCCCCCCCCCCNTGTAGCAAATTTTGTAGGAATGCCTATTAGAACCACATTCGAGGGGATTGGGGGTGGTGATCAGGGGGCACCCCATAGTGCAAGATTACTACATCTCGGCCAGAAGGAGAAGTCAAGTATTGTAAAGCACAGGTCAATGGGAGGTGTATCTTAATCCTTACCAATGTTCTCTGCTGGAAAGCGCAACATTTCAATGCCAGGTACAACGCGTCGAAACATGTCGCACATCACCTCCTGAGAATCACTGGCAATTATATCCACGTTTGCTTTCTTTGCCGCCAGAACCCGAACCATCGCTCGTGTAAATTTCCCAGTTCCAGCTGCAATCTCCAAAAGTTTTATCGGCTCTTGGTTGTCAGAAGCCAACGCGTCGACACGATTGAGAAGAAATTCAACGGATTCCTCTGAGTATTCCGGCCTCCCTCTTTCGTATAAAGACACATCAGTCGTAAACTTTCGTAATCCAACTTTGCCAGTACCAGCATCCGCCATGTTAAATCGAGGGCTTGGACCGCGAAAGCCTGGAACTTAGCTGGCAAACGAAAATTTGGAACGTAGAAGGGGAAATTCGGAATGTCAAGTAAACCTGCAGTTGAACAAATCTTTGAAAGGATGCCATAATTTTTTTTATTATTATTTCATCATTCCTACAAAAAAGATAATTACGAACCTGCAGGCACCCTCTCATAGCTAAGCATTGAAAAAGAAATCTACACTCTTCACTTAAAAGTTTGGTTCTTTAGCTCTTTTCTAAAGGGATTCCGAAATCTCCAAAAGGAATTCGTCGAGAAAACTAGGCGGTTGATTTTTTTTTATAGCTAAACAACGAAGTTTTGGAGTGCCCTATCATTCGATATAAAAA